CTACTCTCTAATGAAATTATTTTCATTGAATATGTGAAGTCTAAAGACAACATAGCGGATCCACTAACCAAAGGGTTAGCAACAGAGCTAGTTGAGAATTCATCGAGGGGAGTGGGACTAAAGCCTATTAAATAAGAGTTACCACAACGACAACCCAACCTAGTTGACTAAAGATCCCAAGATTTAGATTCAAAGGGACAACCGAGTTGTGTATAACTCAGAAAGATCACTGGGGAGTCCAACTCCTACCCATTTCTAGGATGAAATAGTGATATCTGCAGCGTTTTAGGTAAAGTAAAATTTTAATGATTCTTATATCTAGGTAAACCTAGTGAAATATGGCAGGATACCCTTCATAAGAATCACCTATGTGAGTGTGAACTAGGCCGGTTCAATGAGATTTGTGAAGGGCTACAAGTTTTTAGAGCACTCATGGAAGACCAGGTTGTTCAGGGCCAAAATGAACACAATAGTGAGAACTAAACTGTGTCTGGTGATAAACTGTGTGAGTTCTATTGTCTTGATTTACACAAACGGCTGAACAGTTCAAGACATCATGTTCACTGGTTAGCTAGTAAATCCGATAGTATCTCATAAGGGAAAGTTCAAAGCCAAAAATTACCTATCCTTTGCAGAATATTTTCAATTTCTGTACTCTCTGTAATTAGATCATGTTGTTGCATTTTCTCTCCATCAAATTCCCTTCATATGGGGGATTGTTGGAAATTTGGTTTTATATAAGGTTATTTTGGGCCAACTTTAAGCCCAAAATTGAGTGGGCCCCAAATGTCTTTTAGGGTGGATCCAAAGAGGTAACGTGTTCCTTGTCGCATGGCAAGTCACACGGTGAAGACAGTTCGTCAAAACCATTTATGAGTGAATGGGAAGTTGACGTTGTTTCCGGGTTCATGAATGGACAAGTAAAGAAGTAAATGTGGGTTTTCTTGAAATGAGTTGTCCCACATTGAAACTTTAAGAGAGCTTTTTTGGGTATATAAGCTCTTGATGTACTAACTTAGGTTGGGCCCCAAGAGGCACCCCAAGCTTGTAGAAGGGAGGAGTTATGGACAAATGGAACCTTGACTCAAACCACCACACGTGCGCACGCACCGCCACTGCCGTCGTCTGTCCGACCGGCCAAGCCGTACCGGGCGCGAGTGTGGGTCGGATTGGTTCTAATATTAATTTTTTGGACAAAATTTATTTGAATTTTTTTTTCCAAAAATTATTAATAAAATTAAATTCCAATTTTGTGTTAAAATTGAAATTAATTTTCTATCCAAAATTTGCCTCCTTCAGTTCAAATTCCCTACAGAATCTGCTGAACATATTCAAATAGTTTTCTGACCTGTTGGAACCTTAACAGATTCATAATTGTTTAGACAGATTCAAAATATAGACAGTTTATTTAACTGCAGCAGTTATCTGTTTGAAATTCAAACTGTATCTGTTCGAAACAGTGCACCTGTTCCATATCTATTCCAGTTTGAAATTAACACCTGTTCAGGTCTATAAAACCAGATCTGTTCCAGCATTTTTCTACATCCAAAAATCAGTCTGAAATTCTTATTTTTGCTATCTAATTTTCTGCTCTGTTGCATATTTCCTTTCATAGTAGTTTTAGAAAAAATTAAAGAGAGTATAGAACACAAGGTTCTAGTTTGCCGGACAAATTTATTTGGAGTGCTACTACAAATTTGTGAAAATCATTGTATCCTAGGAGATAGACACCACTTAACGTAAGCACCGTAGCGGGGCGAATCTGTCTTAAGGATAGAGAGTCACACACTCGATTTGGTCTTTAAATATTCATTCGGTTCGATAAAAATAAATTCGGTATGTAATTTATTTTATTTGTTTGATTTAGTTTCAATTTATTTATTGTACACAGAAGATTGTTTCAACAGTCATTTATGAACAAATAAGAAATTCTCTTTAGCCAAGGCTAAACACTTTGGTTTCTATTACAGAAAACCAAATCAAGTTCTAAACTTGCAAGCAATTTAAAAATTGCTAATCAAATTACAAGTAAAAAAAAGTTGTTACAACAATATAAGCAAATAAAACTTGCTTTTACATATTGAAAAAAAACCATAACTAAAGTCCAAGCAAAAAATTGCTTCAATTTGTATGTAAGTAAAATAGTCAATTTATAAGGATTCTATTTAGTCCAAAATCTTTTCCACGCTTAAAAATTCATGTTCATCACAAAGGTTAGTTGTCCATATTGAGAATTGACACTCACTTTAATATTGCATTAAAGTCACACAAAAAAAAAACCATTATTTTTCCACAGCATGCTTATTTCGTTATTGATTAGGTTAGTGTCTTAATAATCAACATGCTATTATTGATTTTTGCTTCTTTTTAAGAGATTCTCATATTTCTTTGCATGGTAAGAAGTAAATTGTCATTGTTTGTTCTAAAATAGAGACACAATATTGTGCATTCTAGCTGACACTGTCGAAGATTTCATCTAATTTTGTTGCTTACTCAAAGATATTGGATTTACACAATCCATTAATAGCAATCTCTATCGTGACAATCATATCGTTATCCTAATTGTTAACAATGATACATTTGGGCACAACAAATATATAAGATTTGTTGTAGTGCTTTTTAACTCTTTCCAATTAATCCTCATTGGAGACAACTTATAAGCCTATTTTGTTTAAAGAAAACAATAAGCTTTAATTGGGATAGGTCTCACTGTGATGTGATATTTTAGTTTTAATTTTTGATTTATTTTCTATCATGTCATTAAAACTCAATTAGAATTCCAAAATTAGGTGATGTATCATTACTCTTTGTTTAAATGAGTTTTTAATTGTTTGTCATATTCATTTTTCCTTAAAAAGCCAACTTAAGGCATTCAACTTTTTTTAGTTGATCAAATTACAAACATTTTAATCTAGGCACATTTTTCAAGACACATTTTAGATTTAATTTTCAAATTTATGTTGTACAATATTATATTTCATATTTATCATTTACAGAAGACATTACTCTTACTATTTTGAAAGAACAATTAAGGAGTAAGTTTAATTTCACTCACTTTTAGGCTATGTTCTTATTTCACTATTTAGGTGCGTCCAAGAATGAGAACGAAATTTTTAATATGATTCTTAAGATGGAATGAGATTACCATAATAGTTGATCCACGGAATAACACATTCCTTTGAGAACTTGGTTTTTATTTTTATTTTTTTTACAAATACGATTCATTTAAGAAAAAACCAAACATTAGCCCATGAAATTTAAGCTATATCATATTCGTATGTAAGATTTCTAGCCAAATTAAACACTTTTTTTTTTTTTTTTATAAGAAAATCCTCCCACTCGCCCATAGGTCCAAAACAACGCCCTTTGCAGAGATCACTAAGGTGTCCTGTTGTCCGTTCTACAGGGAGGATTGGGGTTTTGAGTTAGGAGACTATAACCTATGAATTAGTCTCGACCTCCTAAGACAAACTCAACTTAAGTTAGGATTAGCACAGCGGGAGTGCATTGAACTCACTCCAAGTGCAATGAAGTTGCTTGAGGCTACCTCCTGACCTCCTTAGAAAAACTCCACTTAAGTTAGGATTTGCACAGCGAGGGAGCATTGAACTCACTCCAAATGCGATGAAGCTGCTTGAAGCTAACCTCCTAACCAACTGTGTTATGCCCAAGAGATTGGCCTAAGAGAGTTTTGAACCTGGGACCTGGGGCTGAATCCCCAAGCCTTTGTCAAGTTGCCAACCACCCTTAGATTAAATTAAACACTTCAATTACATTGAAGTGTGAATATCATTAACTCTGTTTAGTTTTAAGTTTTTAAAAACATATTCTTTTATTTTGTTTTTCAGTATATTCTTTTTAATATTTTAATCATTTTTTAAAATTTCACTTAATTTAGATACACTTACAAAGTATTAAAAAAATTCTCTAAATACAAAAATGCAATAAAATTACAAAAAAAAAGAGCATTTTTTTAAAAAAATATATCTACTTTAATAGAATTTTAAAAATAAAAATAATAATTAAGATATTTAAGAAATTATTAAAAACAACAAATACGAATTAAAAAACTTAAAAACTTAATTTTAGAAATTCAAAACTAAACAAAGTTACTAGATTCTTCGTAATTCTCATTCTTGCTCTTGTAACTACTACTCTTTTGATTATTTTGAGTTTTTTTTTTTTTTTTTTTGTAATTGATTTGATAATTAGAAGAGAAAAAATAAATAATTATGCTTTAAATATAATATTTTATTTTATTAATTAAATTAATCTATTTTATTTTTATTGACTAATTTAATCAAAATAACTTATGCCAAATGAAATATTTAGGCTTTGTTTGAAATGATTTCCAAACGTTGATTCTATTTCCACATTTGAATATGATGTTTGGATAGATATGTGGAACTAATTTTCCACAACTCTGCAAAAAATTCTGTCTGAGGCACGATTTTTAAAAAAAAAAATTGAAATTTGGCCTAACCGGTCATCCGGCCGGTTGACCGGAATAGTGCAAATTTTTTTTTTTCCAAATTTTTTAAAATTTTTTATGTGCTTTAATAGAATTTTGAATTGTATGTTTGGTTATGAGTTGTAGGTTTTTATATCAAATATCATATGTCACATCAAAAATTCCTCACTCAATTCAAAACACTTTTACCAAACAAAATTTTCACACTCAAATCATAATTTCAAAACTCACAAATTCAAAATACAACTCTTACTCTCAAATTATATTTACAAAACTCTACCAAACATAACTTTATATGTTCTTTTTGGAGGATTGTGATAGAGAGGTTGTAAGACCTTTTTTTCGTCTTTTTTTCCACATGCTTTACAAATTTAAAATCAAAATCCAATATATGGAGGTTCCGTTCGGGAACTTGAGTATTATAATAAAATTATTAAAAAATCATTATAAATTATCATATTATTTTCTTTACTTTCTACCTATCAAAAAGTAAAAAAATCAATTAAAATCATCAATTCTCAATGGTGCAGAGTGGGCAAAATTATTTTCGTGCAAGGGGAGGAAACCAAATTAGCTTGGCGCGCGGTTAAGCTTTCTTGTTTCAAAACTTGCACCACAAACTGATTCATGTTAACGTAACATCATAAACTCACTCATCCTTTTCTTTCTCCACAAGATGGATTAAGCAAAATCAATTCATAAGCTTACAGACTTACTTCATCACCTGAATCGAACCAAACCAAACCATGTACTATTTCCTAGACCAACACCAAGAAGAATCTCTTTAATCCAACTCCAAAAAGCCATACCTTCCTCTACCCTGTTCATCAAACCCATACCTATATAAAAACCTCTCATCTTCTCCATTTCCCTATTCACTCCCATAAAAATCAAATTCCCAACAAACCCAATTCAAATTCAATCACAACAACCATGTCCTTGACCCACCGCTCTCGCTTCATAGTCAATGGCGTCCAAAGAATGCGAACTCACCATTACTTCTGGTGCCGCCATTGCCAACGATCAGTCAGAATCCCTTCTCCACACCACTCCCATCTCCTCTGCCCCCGTTGCTCCTCCCATCTCCGCCGTGACCTCCCCGTTCCGCCGCTCCTCGACCAATCAACACCAATCCCTCTAAATCAAACTGAAAATGAAGCAATAGAGGGAAATCCAGAAGCTTGGATCGTTTTCGAATTTCAAAACCCTAGTTCTCCGCCAACGGAGATTTATCGGCGAGGGCCTCCTCCGGCGCCGACTTCGGCGATTCAAGCTCTGCAGATTGTGAATATGACGGAGATTGATCTAATCAGTGATTCGAATTGTCCGATTTGCAGAGAAGGGTTTGAGCTGGGAGAGGAAGCGAAAGTGATGCCGTGTAAACACTTGTATCATGGTGATTGCATTGTTCCGTGGCTGCGATTCCACAATACTTGTCCTGTTTGCAGATTTGAGCTGAGAGGTTGCTTTGAAGATGATGATGATGAAGATGAGATTGCTGAGGCGGCTTGGAATAGGTTGAATTGGTCGTGGACTCGATTGTTGTCTCTGTGGCCTTTTCGATTGGTGGTGAATTGGATGTGTCGGGATCTTGATTTCCACAGTCACGGAGGTGAGATTTATGGTTCCATAATTTTTTTTTTATGCTTGTTTATTCAGATTTATTTGGTTTAATTTTACTGTTATGTCCTAAATTATTTTTATTTTTTTTATTTCGTTCTTAAAGTAATTTTATCTATTTAATTCATTCCGTTTTTAATTCCAATGATTAATGTACATTTTCAACGCGCTTCGTGTTTAAATGAAAAATATTTTCTCATCCATAATAGGATTGAAAGGTATTGTTAAGCTTGTGAAGACTTATTACAGATTTTATTTTGATAATTTGAATTATTCAACATGTAGAACTCGTCGAATAATATATACATATAAAAAATTACGTTGATTGGAAATCGATAACTATGTAATCAAATTAGTTTTGTATAAAAAAAAATAGATGGTGAAAAAATAAACGGTTGACAGAAATCTGATCCGATGAAATAGCTATCGATATCCGATCAACGTAATTTTTCACAGGCATATAGTACTCGACGATTTCTATACATTGAACGGTTCGGATTATCGAAACGAAACCCGTGGTGGGTCTCATGGACCCAACAGCACCCTTTAGTCCAATCACGGACTGAAGGGAAGCCAAATTTGTTTTTTCTAAAAAATGTTTTTTAGAAGAAATATTTTTCTATATTTGGTGGTAGTGCTGGTGGAACGGAGGTGGAGGTAGAGGTGGATGTGGAATTATGGTGGTGGGGTGACGGCAATGGTGATGGTGGTGTGGTGTCGTTGGTTAAATTTTAGTTTGAAAAACGTTTTCACTTTTAAAAGTAAAAAATATTTTTTTGTCTAAATAGATTTATGGGTTGTTTGGGATGACCTAAATAAGTGCACTTTTTGTCTTTTTACGAAAAGATGTGCAGAAAAATAAAAAGGTGATGTGATGAAAAAAAAAAGATAAAAAGATAGATTATTTTGTGAATGCCAAACTTGACCTTATTTTCTATTGACATGAAAAGTTAAGAAGATGAGTGTTTCGTTGAAGTAGATGTATAAGTTAGTTGTCTAATATAAATCTTAGCCTATGTTTGGGAAGAAGGTTTTGTAGCTTTTTTGGCTAAAATAGTCACAAAAAATAAAATAGGCTTTTTAGTCCAATAAGATAAAATATCACATCCAACCCATAATCATTGCATTCTTTCTTTCACAAAAAAATCAAAAAACCAAAAAAACTAAAAGTCCTTCTCAAACCAGGCTTTTTAGTCTCAGGCTTTTTAGCCCTAGGCTAAAATAGCTAAAAAAATCAAAAAGTCAAAAAGTCAACCTACTTCCCAAACGAAGCCTTAAGGGTTTGACTTGGTAGATAATAGGAGTGTACACGAATCAGATTGGGTTAGTTTTAGAGTAAATTATGAATTGAACCTTTTTTAATGTTCTAGAAAAATTGAAACTGTAATCAAACCGTCAACCTATGAAATTGAATCAGAATCGAACTATTGAAATCGGTTTGGTTCGATTTGATTTACAATTTTAAAAATTTTATATAACAATAAATATGATATGTATTTTATGTTAGTAAACAAATTAATGATAATTAGTTTAACTAAGTCGTTTATTAATTTTATAGTGATGGCTAATGTTCAAAAAGAAATATTTTATTTTTTAATTTTTTATATAAAAATATAAAAAATAGTAAACAAATATCTAATAGTCTGATTCAGTTCGAAATCGTAACCAAAACTTTGGAATCAAGAACTGAACTGATTTGAACGGTTCCACTATTTTCATAACTAGGATTGTATCTAAAAAAATCACACCAAAGTGGCGGTTTGGACGGGATTAGATTGGTTTACCTGTTTTACCAGTTTTTTTTTAACACCCCTAGTAGATAAGGCTTCGGACTTGGGGGTTTGCTCCCTCTAGAGTGTCTTGTTTTCGATTTCTCTCGCCAGTAAAAACTTTTGGGGCCACAAACTACAAGGAAATAAATTCTATTTCAGAAAGCTTATTGTGATAGTATATGTTTGGTTGTTCAAGTTATTATTAAATTATTTTTTTGTTTGGTAAGTTAAGTTTTCACCTTTATTGACTTGGAAGAACTATATCTAATTGAAACACATAAACTGAAACCTCCCCAAAAAATTATAGACTAAGTAAATGAAATTCATTACGAAGGAATGGAATAGAAAAAAATGACAATAATCTTATTTTGATATCTCAACCTTCAATTGTGATCATTAACATCCTAAATTTCAAAGGTAGTTGGTAATTATTGAATACCAGTATGTAGTTATTGAAAACCGTTTGCTTCAAGTTCAATAAGTGAGATTAGAATTTTAGAGCAATGCTTTATCCTTGGAGATGGTTACCAATGTGGTATTCAAACTATTCAGTTATGTTAGGTACATGTAAGAAATTTAGTTACAAAAGCAGTTCTAGTTATGCAACTATTGTTTAACAAAACCTGCAATTTGCAGCAAGCACTTGGTGGAGATCTTGGCTCATTCTATAGCTCAGATCATCATATGTCAATTTCACCACTCACATGTTAGGAACAGGTTGAATGCTTTTTTTACTTTGAGGCAGGTAAGTATTTTCTAAATACTAATTTCAAGAGGTAGCACTACTACTAAAGGGAAGACATTGAAGAGCTAACCAGTAAGTCTAATGTTTTCTTTAAGTTCTGTTTCTCATCATCTCTATTATTTGTGGTATTATAGCTTGTCTCTCACTAACTTTGCACAGAATTAATCATTGATGTGAGACAAAGAGTTGAGATAATGTAAATATGTGAGGTCTACATGCAGCTCCATCTCTGTCTCATCTAGGTTTTTGGTTCAGAAAAATAATTATTTTCTTAGATTATTTTTGTTTATTTACTCTCCAAAATTGCCTACCCCAAAAAAAAAAAAAAAAAAACTCTACAAAATCGTATACTTGTTGCGGCTAAATAAAACGACAATGGGTTTTTTTTTTTTTTTGGCAGGGGGGTTCAAATTTTGTTAATATTCTTCAATTACACAATATGTCAAAAACACTCGTACACTTATGCTATGTATGGTATTATGATATAATATATATTGCAAATAGAGCCGTTATTTACCGTTATAAATGAATAACTATTTGATAAGGAGACTAAAGAATAATTATTCTATTTTACTTTACCTTTGTTCTATCTAACCAAACACTATCTCAAGGATGATTATATTTTTTGTGATAAAAGATTTATATCATTTTATGATTGATATTACAAAATTTTATTATATTATTGTTACGAAAAGTGTACCATGTGCACACATAGTAGCATATCCCCAACTTGCATATAGTTTTTCTTCAGAGACTTATTGTACAAGGTGATCTTCTAACCTTAATCCTTAGTGCCTTTTCCCCCCCTTTTAATTGCTTTTATTTATTTGTTAGGTCAATTCCGTTTTCTTATATTTCATTGTTGAAAATTTACAGTTAAATAGGAGGGGGCAAGCTGCAACATCATGGCTTCTTGGTCCTGCATGAAAGTTTTGATGATAGAACTCAACAATCTTCCCTCTCATAATCCACAAAATCACACATTGAGATTTGATTTATGCATACTCCTGTAACCCACTTGAATTAAATGCAACAAATGTTCATAACAAAAAAATTGCCTTTTATTTTCTGTTTCTTTACCTATAAAGAAACAATTTATTTTCCTCCCAAGTCTTGCGCAATTGAAGGTTTAAGAATTGTCTCATCAATGCCTTTTTTTTCAAAAAAAAAAATTCAATTTCAAGATTAACATTTATTGACGAAATGTGAATTTATTTGTTGACTATCCATTACTTTTTTAATCAACAAAAAAGCATTTACAGCAACACCAAAAATTTATTATAGCCTTGTTTAAGAAGCTACTATTTTAATTAACTATTTAATTTTTTAACTATTTTAACTTCATTAAAATGGTTGTGTATGAAAAATTATTTAGTTTTTTTTTTCTTTTTCTTTGTAGTTGATTTAATGATTGTGAAAACAAAAAAGAAAAAAATGGTTATGAATTAAAAATAGCATTTTATGTTATTGACTATTTTAACCTATTTTGTCTTTTAATGGGTTATTTTAACTCAATCACCTTTCCAAACACCCCCTATATCAACAGATTGCACTTAAGTTGTCCTCAAAATATCTTTCAAAAAATTCCTACCAATTTTGAAAATGACTCTGGAAGAACAAAATCACAACTCAGCAGTAAATACTGATTCCAAGAAAAACATGTACTATTGTATTTCCATTAATCTGGGAAGATAAGTTAAATTCATTCCTTTGTTTACACATTTGGTGTTACCTCAGAATTGCAGACGGTCAAAAAGAACCAAATATATTTTACACTTGTTACTAAATGCTGTGGTTCTCTTTGAAAATCCTGCAAAGTTACGTCGACTTCTCAACTAGTTACCGTCTTAGGAGTTACTCTCTTACGAAAAAACATCCCTTGCTTTCATTCCACGTCGCAGTGTAGAGATAGAAGCCTGCCACCTTCTTGGCTTTGGCCTCCGCTGCTATCATCCTATAGCCAGAGCGAAACTTTAAGTTGTCGTATGCTGCACGCTTGGAAATTGTGTTTATGTAGTATCATCAGTAAATAATGTATTGTTATGACCAACATAGGAGATGGAATGACAGTAGTCCACAGAAACAAAACCACCACATCTCCCCGTATGAAGGACCTATAGCAAAAGCTGCATCAGTAAAGGTGTTAAGACTTTGCCCAAAAACAAATACAGAATAATTTCCACCCGTCAGAAAGCTTAAGAGCAGATAGCAATCTAACACATTGCAAGAAAATGAGAAAATCACATTCTTATTATCACAATACGGAAACATAGGAATTTTGAGCAAGATCAAGCAACTACATTTCAACAGAAATGCAGATCATTTAAGTTATTTCAAGCATTTACAGATATGCAGTAATAACTTACAAGAAGGAGATGGCGAGATTGCGGGTGAGGCAAGTGGTGGAGATAACGACTTTCTCACATTTCCCCTCTCCTGTCTCGGACTGGATCCGTAGGATACAGCAGGTAGAGGAGAAAGATCTGGGGTCAACTGTGGTGTGGAAACCACAGGATGTGGACTAGGACTAGGACCACGGGGTGAAAAGGCTGAAGGAGCATTCGGGTGAGAATTAGATGACGGTGAGGGGCTTGCTGCAATTGTGGAACCACAACGTGGACAAGGGCAAGGGGGGTGAGTACCCACCATTGAAGGTGCAGGAGAACCTGAAATTGGAGGTAAAGAATGGTGGGGTCCATTTTCAGGACTTGGTGGATCTGAGTAGTTATCATCAGACGGTGATGAAGCCTCACAGTTAACACATGGTAAGTGATGATGAAAATCAGACGAGGGAGCTGGAGATGGGGCAGCAGAGGGTTCTGCATAATTATTTTGCTCTGGAGCTGGGGCTGGAGAAGGGGTCGGTGGGGTTGCATCGAGTGTATGATTTAGATAAGAAGATAGACTTATTTCTTTAACTTTACCAAAAACAGAATTATCGAGGCCAAGATTCTTTGTGGGAGACCCTGTGATTGCTTGAGCCAATTGCTTCAATCTTTCGGGCAAAAGGTTGCCCATATCAGACATCACCAAAGCCTGAACTGTAACAGGAGGATCTTTTGTTGAGCCATTTCTGTTTGTTACCTGCACATACACATTCTGAAAGCAAAAAAGGATGTAGTTAAAAAGCCCATCATTAGTATGAAAAACTTGTCCAGGTTTGCAAATTTTGAAACCTGTCCCAAACCAACCCATTGAAACACCAATTAAACTGTGCAAGAAAGACACTTAAACAGAATACCTCGTAAGGCCTCAGATGCAATCCCGACTTCAGCTGTTCCTTCAACTCAGCAAGATTTTCATTTATTTCATCAATAGAATTATGGAGAGTAAAATTAAAGAGGATCTGGTATATCTGCCAAATGGAAGCAGACGGCTCAGGGATTACAGTGATTCCCACCGGAAACTTCAAAATTTGAAAAGAAGATGGTATTCCGAAAATTGGAGTTGTCAAAGTCAAATTAGATTGCCGAAGGAACAATTCTATCAAAGATGATCTCAGTACACTTAAGGACACTGGGTTAATTGAAACATCAATGGGATCAGAAAGAACGCCGAACACCACATTAGTAGCATCATATGCATCATCTTGATGCATGGATAGAATGGCAACCTGCTTAAAATAACTTGCATTTAGGTTGATTTAACCTATATTCAAAAAGTTAAATGAAATAAAATCTAGATGATATACCAAATCAGAAGTTCAAAACAAACCTTTGCACCAGGGACACCTATTTCGCTATAGATATCATACTCTAATCTTCCAATGTGTGGAACTAGCACTGAAACTGGCTTTTCCAGTCTGAAGTATGCCTGAACTGTAGCTGAAGGAAAAAGAAAAAGAAAAAGAAAAAGGAAAGTCCAAAAATCAATCAAGCTGCTTACTGTATGAAAATGTGTAAGATAAATCTTCGCACAAAACCAGAAAATGAAAATGCAAGGGATCCACACACATGAATATGAATGATACTTGATACATAACAGAAAGTAATTCAAGTTGAGGAAAGAATGCATTTAATACACAATGTAGGGCCCATGCGTGGAATTAATATTTGCTAGGTTAAATCAGACCCCGCATCTCTTTTTTACTCTGTACAATTTGAGTATATCCATGAGAAGAATATAAATTTACAGCAATGATATCTAGAGCATGGATCGTTTTGCAAAGTGGAGTGTGAACAGGACGTGGTACGCCACATGCTCTAGAATATGGAATGAAAGAAGCAGGCTTATATAGATCACATTATTGACATGTCTTAAGGTGTACTCAAATGTGAGAGTGATTAGTATGAAGAATATGAGATTTAAATGGTGTTTACATCATCGACTCTTCTATTTCCCTCACAATATCCATGTCCACAGGATATGATAAGGGTAAAAGTGTGGGATATATGTCCAACACAGATGCTTGAAGAAGAGGCAGCTCATATTTGCTAGTAAATAAAAAAAATTTGCCTCTCACATGGATGGGAGATAATTCCATATTTTTCCTAAATTCTATTTAATTTCAAATATAATTCTAAATAATTTACATTATCTTAATCTAGAATATTATACAATATGCAAACATATCCCTATACCCATACCCAACTTTTGGATACGTGTCCCAATATAACATTTAGGCTTACGTAGATCAAACGCTTAGATATACATCTATACCTGATACTCGTACCCAGGTCCATGTAACATGAGTCAATTAAAGATCCATAATTTATTGAAATGCCTTTCTACTTTCAAAGTTTTCTTATATTTAGATGAATTATCTAAAGACATGTTTCTTATTCTCCTACACAAATTGAGGCACTGATGTGCTATGACCCAATTTTTAGATCTTCTCTTGCCAAAACTCACTCCTCTTATGCTTTGATTCGTCATACTCGAATATTTTTTCACATGAAAAATAGTAAGAATAAATAGGAAATTGTTTGGATTGCTTTGGGTGGCTAAATTTAGTATTTCAGAACAAAAGAATACCATATTCAAAATGTACATTCCAAAGTGTAGAGTGACAATGTGTTACTAGTTTCTAGAAACTATGCCTTGTTGTTTCATCCAAAATTGTTTTATTTTATTTTATTTCAATCATACGTTAACTTATTTTCTTGTGCAAACACTATAATTCCACTAAAAATGAGTCTAAAACAAGAAGATTCTACAAACAAATATTATTACCACATAAAAAGGCTTCTTGAGGCTAATAATGGTGTATACATAAATATAAAAGGGGAAATTACGCAACAGTGGACTTTTTACAAAATATTTACAAATTCGTAGAAAAGTTTATATATTTAATTATTAATATTTATAAACTTTGCCATTGATTTGAAATTTTTTTTAAAAAATACACTGAGATGTAAACCCCCACTATAAAAAAACTAGTTCCTGCAATAATTGAAAACCTTTTACCTCGATATTATACTAATTGATAAAGTAGTATAATTGAACAGTAGGAAAGGAGGAGGACAGTACCTTAAATTTATGCAACTTATAATTAAATATAAGCATGAAACTGCTTGCTCACAAACAATTCATTGATTTGAGTAGATGGGGAAAAAAAATTTTAATCCTACATTGCAAGTGAAGTCAACTAGTGTCTGCACACAAAACTCTCAAACAGCTTAAAATAGTGAAAATCTTTAACTTACTTCACTTAAAATGGGTCTTTATATCAAGCCAAAGATGTAGATTAACAAATATTTACCACAATTTATTGCCCAAAACTAAAACAACATAGAATACTGAGAAAATTCCCAAATCTGAACTCAATGAAGGGCTAAAGTCATATATAGTTCACCCTTTGGAAAATTAATAACAGCCATAGTAGAAAAGGCATTCAGCTCACAAAGAACCAACCAGAAGACCAACCCTCAAAAACCTAGACAACGTGAAATTCGACATAGCTATCTGCTAAGAATCTCAGAAAACCCAAATTACAGAGCACCAAACTTAAACGTACCGCCTAAAAAAAAAATAAGAACCTAAGTACATAAATAAAATTAGAAGATTAGAAGAACATATAAAACATATAAAAAGGTGAAGCATCACATACAACAATTGCCATCAGAAACTTTAATGCTTTGTTTAGATCATGAATTTGGGGTAGGGATTAGGAAAGAAAAAGGAAAAGATGAGGAAAATGGAGAAAAAATTTCGCTTAGATTTCATTCACATTTCCTTAACCTTTTATATTCTCTTTTCAAATCCCTACGCAAATCATGATCCAAACAGATCAGATCACTTGGAACACCACATATCCATCTAATAACTCCAAAACAAGACAAATAGCACATGCTCATTCATTGATCAAAAACATCGTGAATGTTGAAATAAAGAAAAGCCAATAAAATTTGAAATATAAAAGGTCAAACACCACAATGTCTCAAATCATGAGAAAACCCTAATTACAAATAACAAAGGTAACACACTACTTTAATTAAATGATCATAATCAAAACCCTAACCAGAAACCATCATCCCTACCACCATGGACAAAGAAAATGGAGGAAAAAAAAGAACTTACCACTGTGCTTGATTGTGTATTTTGCATCAAACCCAAAGAGTGTTGAGTGATGAGGAAGGACCCAAAACATCGCAGAGAGGAACACACACAAGCTGAAAATCAAAACAACCACGCATTTGAGATTGAACTCCGAAACAATTCTAGAGAGACACGTCGAACACGAATCGCAGAAGATTGGCGAATCAGTACTCCGAGATCGAGTCCCCTGACCCTGCTGTTGCTGCTGCTCTGCCAACTTCCCCATTTCCACAGCATCTGCAACTCCCCTCTCTCTCTCTCTCTCACTCTCTCTCTACACACAGATTCAAATCTCTCTCTCTCTCTCTCTCTCTCTCTCTGTGAAAATGTAGAGACTCAAAACGAAGAAGGCGAGAGAGAAGTGTTCATGGTGTTCATACTCTCTCTCTTCCCTCTATCTCTCTCCCTCAGTGAGCTGGCTGGGTATACAAATGAATTTGAAATCTATTTTGTTTCATTTTTAGTTTTTAGTAATGTGAGTATTAGTATAATTAAATTATTGATTATTGATAATTGAAATGTATAAATTAATAATGAGATTTGGCTACCCAACGTTGATGAGAAGCAAAGGTGAAAAAGAAAGTAAAAGTGACCGCACAAAAAAATTAAAAATAAAAAAGTGTGAGAATTTTTATCTACATGTTCACATACTTTGTATTGTATCTATTTGAGAATAATATGGAAGAATGTTAATTTTTTTTTACTAAAAATATAAATATTTACATACCACTTATTCGTAATTTCTTTAATATTTTAAGGTTACTTATTAAATATTTGAAATATTTATATAATTTTTAGGAGAATTACAAATAAAAAAATATATTAGGAGTTTAACCATTATAATAAAATTAATTTTTAATTTTTAATTTTATCAATTTGAATTTTATTTTTTTGAGTTATTTTTAATTTAAGCCATCTGTTTATTTTCGTTAAGAAAAATTAACGAAAAAATTTATATTTTAGCCATTAAACTTAATAAAAAATAATATTTTAAATATTTTATGTATATATATTGAGTTTAATAACTAAAATATTATTACATTATATATGTGTTTAATTCAACCTTACTAGAAATATATGAATGGTTTAAATTGAAAAAAAAAATTAAAATTAAAATTAACACAATTAAAATTTTATGATTTATTTTGTTATAAGAACTAAAGTCTCGTTTGGCAAGTGACTTTTTTAACTAAAAATTAAAAAGTCACTAAAAAAATCAAAAAGTCAACAATCTATATCAAAAAATCGAAAATTCTCTTTTCTCTCTAATTTATACACATCTTTTAGTAAAAAATTAAAAAACTGTCTCAAACATATTAATTTCTTTTAACTTATATTTTAGCCAAATAATTAAGAAGTTACTAAATTAACTTGTTCCCAAACGAGATCTAAATTCTTGAATTTTTTTTTATTTAAAAAAACACACACATATATATATATACACACAATCATTTAAGAGGTTGTAATCATGCCCTTCAAAATCAAAACTAGTTAACAAAAGTATGGAGAAAGTGGGTGGGACCCAATTTAGTTAATGGATTGACATTATAAAATCATACGAACAGTAATATGAAATGTTTGCACCAATTACGATCCAAAATTCAAATCGCACATTCGCACCTACTAATCACTTCTATGATACACTTCTCCTCCTTTTTATCTACTGAGGATTGATTAGCATTTCAAATTACTTGTATGTTACACTTCTCCTGCTTTTTATCCATTGAGAATTTGATTGGCATTTTAAAAATTTGTGGGTTCACTCAATCTTGAGGAAGTAACTTTTGAATTATGAATTTTAAGCCTTCGTTTAGATGTGAGTTAATTTTTTGACTTTTTGATTTTTTTAATTATTCTAGTCTGGAGCTAAATAGTCTTGTTTAGAATGAAATTTTTAACTTTTTTGACTTTTATAAAAGAAAAAATAAAATGATTATGATTTGAATTTAACATTTTGTCTTATTGAATTTTTAATTTATTTTATTTTTTTATAACTAAAATAATCCTCAAAAAAAAAATTCATACCAAAGATAGCCTAAATAAGCAACAAAGACTTATCTATCTATTTATGTTATTATTTAAAGAGAATTTTTGTTGTTCGTGGTGTTTATATCTTATTTTCTACATTTTTTTTTTTCAAAATATCCTAGTAATTACATTTTTTTCACCAATAACATGAGTAGTTATGAATTTAACTTTTTTTTCTTTTTAAATCACTCAATTGTTAGTCTTTTTAGATTTATAAAATATTTTAATTTTCAAATTTCAAATTCAATCATCCATTTTCCAATCTTATTTTTATGATCATATGCACACGCATCATGTATGCCCACCATTTCTAGTAATATGACCAATTACTCGAACACTAGCACACAAGGTTGATGATAGGACAAGCCTTTTAGATTTGGGCAAACCATACTAGGCCTTATTTAGGATATTTTAAAAAATTCAAAAAGTCACTATCCTATTTAAGTTATATCATCTTATTTAAGTCGCAGTACTTCTTTACCATATCATTTCAAACCCAACCCATATTTCATAAAAAATTAAAAAATATACTTATTTAAATCATCTCAAACTACCCTTTAAATTTAGAGTATGAGTTCAAATCTTTATATGCAAATCTATGACTTACATAATTGAGTGTCCTGCTAAGTAATACCAACTAAGATGACCTCTGACATTTTGACTTCCTTAGGGTCTAACCTAAAAAATTGCCCCTACTGTGATTAGATCCAATTGAATTGAGGGGAGGGGAGGAGAAATGAAGGGAAGAGTTAGCTGTAAAAGGAAAAAAAAAGAAGAGAAAGTCTCATCGCTCTTGTTTGGTTAGACAATACTTAATTAAGATAAACATATTATCATGAGAAACACTCCACATCTCTTCCATTTCCTCCCACTTTTGTAGGGAATAATCCCTCCATACACTTCCCTTTTCCTCCTTGGGCATTGCTATGCAAGCCCAAAAATTAGATTCAATTTTTAAGTTTAACGATTTGGTAATCAATTAGGATGTCTAAAGTAACATTCTTTCTCATATCTTCTCAATCATCAATCAATCATATCACTTAAACATCATTGAGTTTAAAAAATAAGTCTAAAAAGTGGATTTATATATCATTTTCTTATCCTCCTTTCAAAGACTTCAAATATGATTTAATTAACTTTATCCCTTAAATCCTTCTAAACCATCAATACAAAAGAAATGTTTGGGGCTATGATGAAGATAAACAAAGAAGTAGATCATTGCCATATTATTGCAACATTACATGTTATTGCCGTTTTAAGATTAATTATATGCAAACTTAACATTTTCTGATCTATTATAATTTATAAGAACAACTTTGCTCATGCTTTTGTTTTTGTTTTCTACTTGAGAATTCTTATGCACCCAAAAATAATTGAGAATTCTTTACCTTAAATTTTTATTGTTCCTCTTTTTTAATTCACTCACAGTTATTTAATTATGCTTTGAGATTTTTAAATCTCAAAATTATTATATGATTCAATGGGAATCAGTAAATTGAGATAAGAACAAAATGTTTTATGGTAAAGAAAGTTGGGAAGGAGGGTGGAGGGACATTGAAGAGGCTGGGTGCAATCGGTGATGGTGATGGTGATGGTAGGGAGAGCTTGGGATTAATGTTTGAATGATTAAGGTTTTGTTTGGGATGAGTTAACTTTTTGAAATTTTGATTTTTTAGCTATTTTAACCTGTGATTAAAAAGTCTCGTTTGGATTGGTTTTTTAACTTTTTTGACTTTTGTGAGAAAAAAAAAAACTATGGTTTAAATGTGACCTTTTGTCTTATTGACTTTATTTTTTTTTTATTATTTTAGCCCTCTAATCTTATTTTAGCCTATGTCAAGCGAGGATTAAGTATTAAGGTCAAATAGTATTTTACAATAAAATATAAATGTAATTAAAAATTTATGGGAAGGTAAGGGTAAAAAAAAAGGGTACTTACGTGTAGATCCTAATAAGTGGACTTATTGTCTAATAGGTCTTGAGAGGGTAATTTATATAGATAAATTGGGCCACACTAAGGACCGGATTATGGGCCGTAATAGGGGCTTCGGTAGCTCGATCTTGGGCAGGTTGACATCAATCCAGTCTGCTGTGTTGCCAAGGTTTCGACCTAACTGTCCATAAGGAAGTCTTGTAGCTAGCCGAGGTACTCATCAGTGGCGAGAGCCGAGCTAAGTTTAGCTTGACCGAGCACTATCTACATCATTACTTTGTTGAAAGCACGGCAGAGACAAGCTAGCTTGGTTAAACCACACCAACTTAGCCGAGCTAAAAACCATCTCATTTGGTTAACAGTGAGTAGGGAGTTATCAGGATAGGCATTATCCTTGGGAGTGTGATTCCTAGGAGAACTCTTATATGGAGAGTTGGAGTCCTATTAGAATTGTGCCAGGCGGAATCTACAAAAGCTCATGACAGGACCTATGTACAGATATCACAATTCTCACTCTAGAATACACAGAACTTTTGTGTCTATTGTCTATTTGCTGACTTAGGCATTGGAGAGATTTCCGGCACATACCCACCGGCTAGCTCACGTTTGTGTTTTCAGGTGGTAAAGCGACGACGTTTGGAGGAGTGCAAACTTGATCAACAGGATTATACGAGAAGAATATTTATGCGCTCGTACAATTGGCGTCATCTGTAGGAAGCCACAAAAAGAACAAACCTTTTGATTAAGTTTCCTCTATTAGTTGAAATCCATGGCGCACAATGAAGACTTATCACATTCTGCTATTGATGGATAAACCCCGGAAGGAGGTGAGAGGCGTGAAGGTTTACCTTTTATCCTATCTATGGTAGAATTAGATTCCTAGCGATGAAACCCACGGAGAGACACACAAGAAAGATGGGGCTTAAGCCCTTTTCGCTCTCAGAGCCCTAACAGGCAGAGGCGGAAGATGGATCCTCAGGTTCTGTAGGATCATATAAGGGAGCAAGACGAATTGATACGAAGAATGACGACAAACATGGAGACAATGAAGTGCCAGATAAAAGGAAAAGGGGTGGCAACAGAAGAAGGGTGCGAAAGCAACGCACACTCTTACCACTCAGAAGATCGTGACAGGCAAGTCACACTGTCACAAGCTGAAAGTAAAAGTCTTAGGACAGGCGACACACAATCAAGGACTTCTAGGACTTGTTACTCCAAGACAGAAAAAACGAGAACTGAAAGGTCTTATACGGAGGTAAGCTGCTATCGACGCTCGCATTCACACCAAACAACATCCAAGCACACGGAGTTGCCTAGGTTAGTAGACTTGCGTATAGTGCTACAAGAAAGGGCTCAAAGGAGAGAAGACACTCAAGCTCGCGACCCCCATAGAGTCTCAACGCTGCAACGGTTGGCTCCTAGAACACATGGGAGTGTCGAGGTTGGGATGCCAGAACCATGCCTTGTCTACGAACTAGCAGACAAAGCGTTAGCAAAGTTGTAGAGCTCGTCGTTCATTTTGGTGATAGAGAACGCACCATTACCCTTAGGCTTCCACCAGTCCAAATTCACTACTTATAAGGGAAAGTCAAACCCCTACATGCACTTGAGCCACTTCTGCCAGGTTATAGCCGTGTATCGGCAAAACGAGGCTCTAATGTGTATCTTTTTTCCTTTCAGCCTTGGCAACCTGGGTTTAACATAGTTTGAAAGGTTACCAGAAAGTAGCATAGCTTCATGGACGCAACTAGTAGAGGCATTTGTGACCAGATTTAGAACGAACACCAAGAAGCCAGTGGAGACTGACTAGTTTCTCTCTATAGACATGGGCGAGAAGGAAACATTAAGGTCTTACAATAACCGAGGAAGACTTTTAATCAGATTGGAGATTACCTCATAAACCTAGCTATTGCATAGTACAAACGAGGTTTATTGGTTGGCAATAAATTGAGGGATTCAATGACGATGACATTACCTCTCACAATGGAAGCCTTAATGGAAAGAATGCATCAGCACATCTGGGTAGAAGAAGATGTTGCGCGCACCAAAGCAAAAGTTGGCACAACAGCGATGTCAGACAAAAAACCAGAGGCAAGTTAATGCAGTTGGGTGGGAAGAACAACCGAACAAAAATGAACGAGGCAGACGAGCCAACAGAGAGGACCCTTAAGCAAGGAAGTTAAGAGTCCGTACTGCCATCACCACGGTATTCAATAAACCTTTCTACTAGATTCTTAGCGAGATACGCAATGAACCCTTCATTCAGTGGCCAGCCAAGTTCGGAGAAGCGCAAAGCGGCTATGATGATAGGTACCATTGCACCTTCCATGATGAAAAGGGGCACCAAACTGAAAACTGTATGCCATTAAGGCAACATCTAGAGGAATTAGTGGCCATAGGCCACCTGGACCAATATATTGAAGGGGGAACACAACCAATCCCCCAGGACCGTAACAGGCCAGATGGGATGCTGGTCGACGGTCTATCCCAAATCATAATCAATGTAATACATAGGATCATCAAACCTGAACGAGTATGTGAACTTAGAGGGATGATCAAAAAGGCTGAGCACATGAGAGAGGTACTAAGTGCACAACCTACCGTGAAAAAGGAAAAAACAGAGACAACGAACGTCATCACATTTTCTGATAAAGACTTAGCGAGATTACAAAGCCCTCGCAACAATGCACTGGTGGTTACTCTGCGCGTCAAGAATTTTGACATCAAGCGGATCCTAATTGACCAAGGGAGCTCATGCGAGATAATGTACTACGAGACTTCAAGCAACTAAAATTGGAGGACAAAGACTTGGTACCCGCAACATCTCCCCTAGTTGGCTTCTACTCAATTCTAGAATGGACGGTTGGCAAGATAATTCTGCCAATCAAAACAGGAACGATGACAAAACAAGTGGAATTTTAGGTATTGAAAGTCCCTTCCACTTATAACATAATCTTGGAAAGAGCATGGTTGCAAGTCATGCGAGTGGTGGCCTTGACCTGCCATCAGGTGTTACAGTTCCCCAATGAAACCGTGGAGATACCCCATTTTTTACCGTCCTCAAGGCTAGGACGTCATCGTTTGAACACGCGATGATTATCCATACTTGTGTTTGTTTTGAGTTTCGAAAAGTCTTGGCTGCGTGCCTTGCCTTAGAATCTCTTAACTTCTCTGTTTTGTGCTTGGTTGCACTAAGAGCTTTTGGATGTGTTCCTGAGGGCAGAGGGGAGCCTGTCGACCAAGTCTCCTGCCCACCGGCCACCTTGATTTTCAATCGGCCAAATGTGATGGCCGGCCGGCCAATTTGACTGTCGGTCGACCACCTTGATGGCCGGCCGGCCAAATATGGTTTTCAACAGATATTTCTGCAGATAGCTGGTAGCTGTCATTCCAAGCCATACCCCAGCCCATGCCTGGACGTGGCAGCTCTGAGGAGTTGCAGATTGATATATCTTTATATCAATCAAGCTTCTTGACAAAGAAAGAGATAAGGCAAGAGGAAGAGGAGGAGATATACAACCTAAGGAGCAAAAATCTCTCTCTCTCTCTACATTTTTCTGTCTCTCTCTCTAAGGTTTAGGGTTTGTTTGTGCTCAAAAGTGCATTTTCTTTGCACTTTTGCATACAAACACCTAGTTCCCTATTCCCTTTATTGAGCTGAGGTCCTTGAAAGTGATTTTTGAGGTGATTTGAAGCCTTTTCTTGGTCCAAAAGTTACTGATTTGCTGCTGTGCTTCAAGGGTGAGCTTTTACCTCTTTTAAGCCTTGTTTTCATAGCTTGTTTTTCCATATTTGCAACTGTTTTTGAGCTTAACATATAACATATAAAAGTCTTGTTTTTGTTTTCTCTAAATAGTTTGTTAAGGGTGTTTTAAGCTTTGGGGTTGTTTGACCCCTCTTAAGGCTTGTTTGGCCTTTGTTTTGTGCCATTTTGGTTGAGCTCTAGGACCATTGTGTTTGGGCCTCCTCACCACTGAAATCTTGAGGGATTTCAGTAATGAGGATGGTGCCTTGAGGTCCTAGGAAGGAGAGGGCCATCCCCTCTCCTTGTGTCCTTGAAAATAGCCATTTTTAGCCTCTTGAGGGAGCATATAGTTTGAGTGTGTATTAACCATGCCTCGACTGATTTTCATGCTTATTATGTCATAATATAGCATTGTTGTATGTTGGTTTTGGTACACCATGCTTGCTTAGCATACATGCCTTGTAATGCCTTGTTTTAGCCTTAACATGTCCTATGCTTTGAGCCCTTATTCAAGCATGTTTAGGCCTAGCTTTATGAAGCTTTTATGTTTGTGTTAAGGACATAACCAGCCATCCTTCAAGGGATTACCTACGGCCTCAAACCATATAAGACATAACTCATCAGAGCAAAGGGGCCAAACAGACGCAAATTTAAAACTTTGTCCATAGAGCTGTGCTTATATGCACATCATAACATTTCACATAAGTATTCATTAATAACTCACATCAAAAGGGAAGTTAACATATAAACTGCA